ACTATTGACAATTTCGAAAAGCAGAAAATAAGGATATCAAGGATATATTTTCAGAATTTATCACAATCGAAATGTTATTTCATGGCAAAGCTTTAGAGGTCTACACTGCTGCCTACCAAAATATGCAAAAGATTGATGAGGATGAAGATTTGGAGGTTTTCCGAAATTCTCTGTATCCACTAGATTATCCATCTCATTTAGATATTGTAAAAGCAAATTCAAAATCACCTCTTCAGAGATCACTGTCAGCTAAGGGTGTATCTTGAACAGGACAGGTATCTACTGGTCGATTAAGAAAGGATCAACATGCAGAAGATGATGAAGATGAAGAGGTAGACTTTACAGAAGAAGAAAATTAATTTTAAGTTAATTTCTAAATATCTATTTTCATCTTAAATGACTTGAAAACTTTATACTTACTTGATAAGGAAAACCTCAAAACAAAATCCTACCATAAATGCAAAAATAAAGGAAATTTATGCTGACCAAAAAAAAAAAAAAAGATGACCCATACAGGGCACTTAGCACAACAAAAGGCAAGTGAAATGCTCAATAAAAATTATTTTATGTCCTTTAGTGTCTAATGTGGTAAATTGGCACATGAAAGTAAAAATTTTAAATGCAAACGTGGGATAGGATGACTTCCTTGTTACCTTCTGCTTCTCCAGCACTGAGCAGTCTGCATCTGCTAGGCTGGTGTTATTCGCCACCTATGGATCTTCTCTGCTGCTGAACGGGGAGCTCCTCAAGGGCAGGGGCAGCGCTGTCTGTTCCTAGGCCCTAGCATGGCTGCCTGTCCACCCTAGATGCTTTACATGCTAGTTATTTCCACACTGCACGACTGTTGGTTCCACCTAAATAACTGTCCTACTTCTACCACATCCTGCAATTCAGGCATTTTATGTCATTCTGAGATGACATCCAAGCTTCCCTAGCTCAGCTCTGAGACTCTCTATTCCTCCTGTCAACACAAAATAGAAACTTTATTTCTGGTGATTGTGTAAAGTGTGGCGATACCTGAACTAGACAGAGAACAGCCAGGGCGCCTGTCCTGATCTCATCTCAGTGTCACCAACTATAACCAAGGGAACCAGCTGTCAAGAATCTTCAAGCAATCTGAATGCTGCAAAGGGAAAAATGGTCTACAAACCAAATTAATCCAATCTGTGCAGTCACAACCTGCCTTCCATAGGATTTGGTGGAGCACAGCAGAGAACTGACAAGATATTCAGTAAATGTTAGTTCTATGGATGCTAACTCTGGATTTTTTTTTTTTTTGAGACAAGGTCTCACTATATAGTTTAGAAACTCACTATGTAGCCCAGGATGACCTTGAACTCACAGTGTCCTCCTGCCTCAGCCTCCCCAGTGCTGGGATTATAGGTATGTGCCACTAATTCCAGCTTTTCACATGCTTAGTCCTGACTTACTAGAATTCTATAGCATGACAACCTAAAAGTATGGTGAGATCTTTCAATCATCAAGGATTTAAGGCCACCCGAAGGCAGTATGGCACTGTGGTTCTACCCAGTCCTGGGACTGTTTGGATCCCAGGACTGCCAAATGCCAGATGTGACCCTGGACAAGGTACCAAAAATGAGCTAAGTATCTACATGAGGCTACCAGTAGCACTTGGCCCCAAGGTTGTTGCTTAATAAGAGTGGTATCTGCAGGGGGCCAGGGATGTAGCTCAGTGGTGGCGCTGCTTGCCTCACAAGTGCAAGGTCCTGAGTTCAATCCCTGGTACCAAAAAAAACCAAAAAAAAACCCGTGGTACCTGCAGTGGCATTTGGCACATGGCGAACCCTCAATAACTCTCAGCTATTATGCATCACTTCACACTGAGTGTCGAGCTGAGGTAGCTCTTTCAAATCACTATTCCCCTGTCAGCTTATGACTCTTTTCTCATGTCTCACGTTCAAAGGGGCTTGGGAACCTGGTCCCCCAGGCCTCAGCACGACTGGGCAGCAGTGGAGGGCTGCCAGGTCACTCTCCTACATACCACCTTCCTAAACATCATATAGCAGCTCCTTTCTCCTGGCTCCCGCATGCTCTGCCTGCTTCCTCTGTCACCACACAGCCTTGCCTGGCCCCACAGCAGCTCCACCTGTGGGCACTTGCTTCTCTGTCTACCTTGCTCCCTTCAGCCTGCAGTGTTGCTTCTCACCTCTGCCCAGGTCTTGAAGAGGCTCTGCTCAAAATGAGCCTGAAGCAGTACATTGTGGCCAGTGAATTGAAGAAAATGGACTGATACGTTTAGGAAAGATTTTCAAAAGGGGTTTATTAAATAGGTCCTTAGCCAAGCGTGGTGACTCATGCCTGTAATCCCAGTGCTTGAGAAGCTGAGATAGGAAGAGTGTGGCAAGTTCAAAGCCAGATTGGGCTACATAGTGAGTTCAATGGCAGCCTGAACTGCATAGAAAAAATAGCCACTGAAAAAACATTTACTTCAGAGCCAGTTGTGGTGGCACATGCCTATGATGCTAGCACTCTGGGAGGCTGAGACAGGAAGATCACAAGCTCAAGCCTAGCCTGAGCAATTTAGGGAGGCTCTGCCTCAAATTTAAAAAGCCTTGGGTTCAATTCTCAGTACTGGGAAAAAAATAAAAACTACTTTGGTAAACTAGGAAAACCAGTTTATCAGAAATTCTCTAAGGTTCAATTAAGTGCATAATATATATTAGGTCCTTAGCTTAAAATTTTCTCATTTATTCTTCATAATGATACTGTTGACTTGACATTACTGTCCATTGTTTTTCCCCCTAAGACAGGGTCTTGCCATGTAGTTCATGCTGGTCTAGAACTATGTAGGCTGGGCTGGCCTGGAACTCAAGGCGATCCTCCTGCCTCAGCCTCCTGAGTGTTGAGTGTTGGGATTCTAGGCATGCGTCACCATGCCTGGCTATTTTGGATGTGAAGAAACTTAGGATAAGTAATCTGTTCAAAGGACACAAAGACAGAGTTTGAATGTTTATCTACCTGACCCCACAGTGCTTGGTCACAGACGCTGTTCTGAGTGGCCTCACATCATGTATGTTTGCCTGCCGTGTTCAACATGTCATTCGGGCCCTGTGCTGAACATGGAGTAAATACATTCCCAACCTGAACACGCAGTGCTGTGGCTCTCCTAATGGGCCAATGTTAGCTCCTAGACACAGTGTGGGATGCAGTGACACTTTGTGACCAAGAAGCCAACCCACTCAGTGGCCTCCACCTGACCTCAGCTCTCCTTCACTCATCACACACCTATTGCCTGCCACATGGGAGATGCTGCTACACTTCTTTCCTCAGCTTCTTCCTGAGCAGATATTCACTCTCAGGAAAGCATTCTGCCAAACTGGGGTACCTAAGCATTTCTGAATAACAAGACAAAAGCTCTTTAGAATAAATGAACCAGTGGTTTCCAGGAATCTGCACTCTCCAGAGAAATTCAGGCTCCTCAGCCCCTAGGGTTGAGATTTTCCCCATCTAGTTACTCAAGAATAGGTCTGCTAAGGCCTAGAAAACACACACATAGGAACTGAACTCACCTCTTCCAACTTTCAAGAGTCAGTAAGTTAAATATTCACCCTTGGTCACTAAAAATTTCCTGGGATGAAGTGGTAAATATGGCTGAAAGAAAGGCTGATCTGTGATTCAGACTGGAACCCCATGGCCATTACAGGGCTGGATGTTCATGTCCCCCAGATTCATATGCTGAAGCCCTTGCCCTCAACATGATAGTACAAGGGTCTTTGGGATAATTAGGTTACCAGAGTGAATCTCACGATGTGACTGGTGACCTTGTAAGAAGACACACAAGACATACAAGGACAAAGCAAGGTGGCCCCCCACAAGCCAGGAAGATGGAGTTCCTGAGAACCCAACCATGCTGCATCCTGGCCTCGGACTTCAGCCTCCAATGTTTAAGCCACCTTAACTACGGTATTTCATTATGGCAACCTGCGCTAAGAAAGGAAGAAATGCAGTTAAAATGGGGTTGTTAAGATGGGGTCTCACCCAACAGGACTGGTGTCCTTGTAAGAGGCAAGGATATAGAAGACACCAGAGATGCACATGCAGAGACAACCACATGACCACACAGTGAGAAGCGCCACCTGCAGGCCATGAGGGAGACCTTAAAAGACAGCGAACCTATGACACCACATTCTGAGACTTGTAGCCTCCAGAACAGCAAGAAGGCCCCCAACTAGGTATTTTGCTATTTATGATGTAGTTAAAACTTCAAGCCAGTAATGCAAAATGAAAGTGACTTATATGTTTTCCCTCCCTAAAACCACGTCTCAGGGTCTCATGTCTCAGTGGTGTAGCACCTGCCTGGTACATGCAAGGGCCAGAGTTCAATTCCTGGTTCCAAAACCAAAAAACAAAAACCAATATAACCAAAAAACAAAACCAAAAAAACACATATCTGGAAAACATCAACCACCAGGAATCCATGAAGAAAAATCACAATACCTGCCGTTTTTCTCCCAATATTCCATAAATTCAAGAATGAGAAAAATCACCCTCTCCTATACAAATTATCTCTTACAGCTTAAAAATGAAATGTCCTCAAAGACTTGGGTACTGAGAGCTTGATCCCCAGTGCAGCACCATTCAGGGTGGGGCTGGAGAGGTGACTGGATCATGAGGGCACTGACTTGTGAGGGGATAAATCTGTGGATGAGTTCAGAGCTGAACAGGCTCTTAGGAGGTGGGGCCCAGCTGGAGGAAGGAGGTCATGGGGGGCTGCCTAGCAGGATATATCCTGTCCTTGCCCCTTCCTTCCTCTCGGCTTCCTGACTTCTGTGAGGTGAGCAGCTTTCCTCCACCATGGCCTTCCGCCATGATGTTTCTGCCTCTCTACAGCCCTAAAGCAATGGAGCCAGCTGGCCTTGGACTGAAACCTCTGAAACTGTGAGCCAAAAGTAAACCTTTTCTCCTTCAAGCATCTATGTCAGGTAGCTTGTCCCAGCAACAGAAGGTCAACAGTCTCCAAAAGAATAAAGCAATCTTACCCAATCCTTCCAGTTCTTGAACCACTTCTTTCCAAATGGGCTCGATGTGGATGCAGCTGAAGCACCAGTCTGAGGTGATCTTAATGAGGTAGGGCTTCTTGAAGCTGTCTGGAACCACTTCATTCACGTAGTGTGAAAAGTGCAGTAAGTACTTTTCATCAATTGAGTCCCGCCGCTCCGAATTGAAAGGAAAGTGAAAAAAAGATTCATCGAAATAGAAATTTTCGTGGAAATGGTGGAAGCGATACTCTCGCTGCTGCTGCTGGTGCCGCTGGTTCTCACCAGCATCGCCATAGTGATCATAATTTGATCTCTTTTCTTCATTGGAAAGAATCTAGGAGGAAAAAGGATAAGAAATCTAAAAAACAGGAAAAGTTTCATGCAAAGGAATTTTCTGGCAGCAACTTGAAAGACACAAAGAAAATAAATGTAAAGATTGTGATGTGATTAGATACTCTTTTTTCTTTTTTTTTTTTGGTGGTGCTAGGGATTGAACTCAGGGCCTTTGCACTGAGCTACATCCCCAGTCCTTTTTTTAATTTTCTGTTTTAAAATTTTTTAATTTTTGGGCCGGAGATGTAGCTCAGTGGTTTCGCTGCCTGCTGTACAAGCGCAAGGTCCCGAGTTCAATCCCCGGTACCAAAAATAAAAAGAACTCGGGACCTTACACTCGAGGCAGTCGAGCTAAATCCCTGGCCCTATTTTCTATTTTGAGAAAGGATCTTGCTAAGTCATTAAATTTCCCAGGCTGGGCTTGAACGTGCAATCCTCCTGCCTCAGCCTCCCAGAGTGTGGGGATTACAAGCATGTGCCAATATCCCCAGCTGTGATTAGGTATTCTAAATGCAGTGGCTCAGGATACTGGGAAACTCTTAATAGAAAACATTAATCAAAAACATTAAAGAAAACTCAGGATCAAAATACTTCAGTTCTTTAGCTAGACCCATTCATCTTGGCATTAAAGATTTGAAACTATCTCAGTAGGCACTTCAGTAAATTAAATAAAATACCACACATTGTTGATTACAGTGTAGAAATAACTGTATACATTAGATTGCTAGTTTATAAGTCATAGGATCTATTCTGGTTTTGTTTTGATTTTTTTTTGGTATCGGGGATTGAATTCGGGTCCTTGCACTTGCAAGGAAAGTGGTGGAACCACTGAGCTAAATCCCTGGCCCATTGTTGATGGGCTCAATTACAAGAAAGCTGAATTAGTCATACCTTATGAGTTGGAATCATTCAGACCAAGGACTGGAAATATATGAATTCCAAAAAGCAGCCACAGATTTGAGTCCAGTCCCTTGTGCGTTAGCTGACTTTACTTTACTTAAAAATAACTTTGAGGTACAAGGTTCAAGAATCCATTAGGATGAGTTAATACTATCTAAGCACTGTTTGGTGAAGAGCATCCCCTAACAAATCAGGAAGCCAGCAACTTCTCTGTTATGCATATTCCAGACCAAGCGACTTAAGCTGACATACTGCAAATTATCAAAAAGTTGTGTTTCAGTGGACTTGTAACTTTGTGGCATTTTAATAAATATAGGCAAATTGGCATGTGAGTCTTTTTTTTTGGGGGGGGGGGGTTTACCGGGGATCGAACTCACGACCTTGTGCTTGCAAGGCAAGCACAGTGCCACTTGGCTAAATCCCTGGCATGTGAGTCTTTAATAAAAGTTTCTAAAAAGGTAATACAGAACTTATTCCAAGTAATCTTACAATTCTAATTAAAGCCTTTGAGATAGTCCAGCCAGGTGTGGCACACAACTGTAATCCCAGCTACTCAGGAGGTGAGGCAGGAGGCTTCCAAATTTAAGGCCCATTTGGTAACTTAGTGAGGATTTGTCTCAAAATCAAAAACAAAAAGGGCTGGGGAAAAAAATGGGCTGGGGATGTAGCTCAGTGATAGTGCAGCCCTGGATTTAATCCCCAGCACTGGGGGAGAAAAAGGCCATATTTTCAGGCTGGGGATTGAGATCAGTGGCACTATACCTGCCTCACAAGCGCAAGGTCCTGAGTTCAACGCCTGGTACCAAAAAAAAAAAAAGGCCAGATTTTTCAAAAGTTCAAGTGTTCAGGCACTTGTTTCAACACTGATGTGACCAGATATATTCTTTCTACCATCATTTGGAAAGCAGGTCAGGGCCTGGGAACATGCGTTTCCTGAGCAGGCTTTACAGAGCTGATCACCACAGGTATAGTTTTATTAAGAGCTAAGGGACGCGCCCCAGGGTTTGCCCCGATACCTCGTAAGCCTTGCTGATCTGGATGAACTTGTCTGCGGCCCCAGGATTTCTGTTTTTGTCAGGATGCCTGAAACAGATGCGCAGCCAGTGAGGATTTCATTTTCCACACACGGTCATGTAACATCGTCATACACACAGCTTATGACTTCCGAGGTAAATGGGCCATTGTGTTAGGACAGCTGCCTAACATAAACAGTAGAAGCGATTGATGGCTTCACCGGCTACAGTAAATGAAACTCTGCGATAGGCATTTTCCTCTTGGAACACTCCAGCTGGGTACATTTTCAAAGCACCAGAGTGCAATGTGAGAGCATTTCACCCATCTTTACGCTACTCCCCAGCTGTGCAAAGGGGCTCTGTTCAGTCAGTCCCTTAGGTGCACAATGAAGGCTTTTCTCAGACACCAGTGTATCCTCCCCATATTAGAGTAAACCTGGGCCAGGGCTGTAGCTCAGTGGTGCTGCACCTGCCTGGCAAGTGCAAGGTCTTGAGTTCGATCCCAGGTACCAGAAAAAAGAAACAAAAAAACAAATCAAAACACTTCAGTATTCATTACTTCTCCACCTATGGTGCCTTTTAGCTCTAAATGGATAATGGTTTCAAGGCCACATTTGTTTCGTTTTGCTTTTTTGAAACAGGGTCTTGATACTAGTTCAGGCTGGCCTCAAACTCCTGCTGCCTCAGCCTCCCGAATGCTGGGATTACAGGAGTGTACCACCACATCTGGCTTCAAGGCCACATATTTAAGATGTTAAAAAAAAAAGTTTATGCAAAGTTAATTTATTTAACAGTAGAACTAATCTTCAACAATGGCTATTATCTATAGCGGGCAATTAACTGTCTTGAGGTCACATATTATTTTGTAATTTTTGGTGTTTATACTTATTTCAGTTTTGGGGATTTTAAAGTCTGAGAAAGGACTCAGTTTACTTCTTTGCAGTGTTTCAAGGTCTAAGTGTTTTGTATAGACTGATTTTTTTCAACATTCACTTTGTTAAAAGACTCTGTGACAGGGTTTATTCTTTTGGTATATGGGGATTGAACTCAGGACCTTGCCCTTGCTAGGCAGGCACAGCACCACCGAGCTAAATCCCAGCCCAGGGTTTATTCTTCATGTAATCGGTTTTGCTTATGTCTACTCAAGTTCCTCTAGCACAGGTTCTGGAAAGAAAAACAACTCTCAGGGAAGCAAATGACCATTAAAAGCACATCAAGTACACTGGAACAGGAAAAAAAAAATCTACAATTTGACTTATTCTAGCAGGAATATGTTTGAATGAATTACACTACATATTTCAATTGCTCTAAAACCAAGGAAACTTCAAACGGTTCACTATTGAATTTGGACATTGTTTCCTTAACCATTTAATCCTTGCTATGAATAATTAGTGGGGAAAAATACTGGCTAGGCGTAACGAAAACAGTATGATTTGAGGAAATAAGATGATTCCAAAGCATGTTTCTGGATGACAAAATGAAAGAAAAAAAGGTGCCTTCAATATTTGAACTTAGATTAATGGCTGAATGGCTAAAATGATACAACTGCACAAATGATTTAACACAAAGAACTAACTCTGTGGAAGAGAAGGACGGGAAGGGGCTCTTTAGGACACTGGAGTAGAAAGAACCTTGTAGGCAGCTGGGTAGGAAACAGGGGTCCTGCAACAGGGGTGGCCAAGGCTCAAGAACAAAGGATTGCACAAGATGGTTTGACTTCTAGGAACACTCTCCTAGCCGTGGGAAGATCGCAAGGCGGAAGACACTTAGAACAGGGTGTGTTCAGCCCTAGGAATGTATCGCCAAATGGCATTCTCAGTGACTATGAAATTATTTCACAAACAGCAACCTTTACATTTCAGAGTGAAGAAAACATTGTGTATGGTATCTACTAGCTGCTGGTGACCTCTAAAGGAATAAAAACAAGACAGAAAAAGAAATATAGCAAAGAATATGACAACTTAACTGTTTGGTTGACTGAACCATGTAATATCAATTTGCTTTTCTTGGGGTAGGAGTTATTTTGCTAATAAGGATGACAAATGAAAAGTGTTTATGATAAAACTTAATTATAGGGAGAGAAACAGTTTTTCTAAGAGAAAAAAGTAATTTCAAGTGGTTTCACCACGCAAGGGAAAATTCTTGTGAAGTCTAAGAAACACTTAGTAAAACCCTTAGTAAAATACAATCCAACAATTAACCACTTCTCCCTGCTACAGCTCATTCTGAAAAGTCAAGATGGGAAACAATGGTTATTTTTCAATGTACATGAAACCATCACAAAACGAAACTGAAACCAGTCCAGATGATAAAACATTTCCATGGCCAAAACAACAGCCAACAATAGTACTGGGCCGGGGATTTAGCTCAGTGGTTCTGCTGCCTGCCGCACAAGGTCCCGAGTTCCATCCCCAGTAACAAAGAACATGCACAACCCACCCCGCCCAAAAACAAGAATACCGCAGAAATATAAAGGTAAAATAATAGTTTAGACTTTCGCTAGATGATACTCTATATTTCTATGGTGGTGAATTACTCGTAGAGAGGATCTAATTAAGGAAGAGAATGACTCATTTAATTAATATCAATAACACCCTTTTCAGCTCAGGAAGACAGAAAAGTCAAAGCAGTACATTTTAACAAATCCATGACCTCAAGCTATCATTTCTGCTCTGAAACTACTGTCAAAGGCTATCTCCTCTCTAAAAGAATGCTGTTTTTTCCTGGCTGTGGTGGCACACGCCTGTAATTCCAGCACTTGGGAGGCTGAGGCAGGAGGATCGCCCAGGAGTTCAAGTCCAGTCTGAAACACACAGTGAGACCTTGTCTCAAAAAAAGGAATGTTGTTGTTTATGGATTAACTACAGATTTTTTTTTTTTTACTTCTAACATAAAGAGGCAGGAGTTTGAAATGTTATTGAAAGCAAGTTTGGCATACAGTCCCTGGAAAGAGGACACACGTAATCAGGGGTTGTCTTTTTACACTTGCCCAGGCTGTTGTTTCTTTCAATTCTAGATTTCTCGTGATATGAATATGGTCTAAAATATCTATTCAAAATATTATATTTTAAGCTACTATTTACCTTGACCGCAATTAGGTGTTTTTTTTGGTACTGGGGATCAAACTCGGGACCTTGCCCTTGCGAGCCAGGCAGCGGAACCACTGAGCTAAATCCCTGGCCTGGACTGCAATTAGTTTAATCCTAAAATATATCTGCTTACTGAAGAAGAAAGGGGCCAGGAAGAGTCATCCATAGCCCATGACATTATCTGCATGTGGCTGTTTCCTGCTCTCATTCAGCCCCCTCCCACCCAAATGCTAGCCCACCACCTTTACTCTTGTCCAGATGGGCAAATAATTAAAAACCAAACAAAAAATGAAGCGTTGATACAGAAGGTCAAACTGTGGAACCCAGAGGTAATGTGGATTTACCATCTCTGAGTCTCAACTTTCTCATCTGTAGAACAGTTTCAGCAATCTCCTTTCATAGGCTAATGACAAGGTTTCAGTGGGATCACACACAGAACTCGAAGGCTGGCATCCAGTAGGTGCTCAGCGATGGGACCTAGCACAAGCTTTCTTTCATTACCTATGGGTGGTTCTGCAAGCTAGCCAACAGCCCTTCTTTCCTCTTGCTACCCCACTCAGCTATATAATCTAACACTTCTGCTTCTTTGGCATGGCCAAAACTTTGGTGGGAGAAACCAATGACATGTATCCAAAATAAGTTCTAGATTTATTGCTTTCTTGCTAATTGCTATCCTAACAACTAACAGATAAAATTATGATTTTACTTCAAGATTTCCTTAAAAAATAATATACTTGGTTCCTGAGTATTCCCCCTCCCCATACCGGGAATCCAACTCAGGACTTTGGGCTTGTCAGGCAGGCACGGCGCCACCGGGCTCATCCTGGCCCCGAGTATTCTTTTTTAATTGAGGGCAAAAAGCTCTCTTTTTAAATTTCTTCTTTTCTTTGCCATACAAGAGGTAGAACATAGGGCCTCCCTCATGCTAGGCAAAGGCTCTACCACTGAGGTATACTACCACCCCTTTGTATTTTGGGATACGGTCCTGCTAAATTGCCCAGGCTGGTTTTGAATCTGTGATCCTACTGCTTCAGGCTCTAGAGTAGCCAGGATTATGAGTGTGTGCCACCATGCCTGGCTTAAACTGTTTTTGCTTTTTTTCAGACATGGTTTTGCTATGTAGCCCAGGGTGGCCTTAAACTTGTGGCAATCCTCCTGCCTCAGTCACCCGAGTGCTGGGGTTAAACAAGGTTTTTTAAAGCTTAAAAATTAAAAATCAGTAATTTAGAACTGGGATATAGCTCAGTGGTATGGCACTTTCCTAGCTTGCACAAAGGGGCTTGGCTTTATACATCACATCACATCACACATTCACCCACTCAGAATAAGATTGAATAGTGTCCCCCTTAGCAATTAAACTCATAAAGAATTCTGTGAATAATGTGTCCTGGGAAGGGGAGCGTATCCATTGTGACTTTGTGAATAATATGTCCTGGGAAGGGGAGCATATCCATTGTTGGTTACATGGTTTTAAAAAAATGAAAGCTGTTTCTTACTTCAGTTTAACACTAAATATGTTAACAGTATCTATAGCAATCCTTGAAGCCACAGTATTCCTAAAAGGAAGTTTCACAGTAAACATACTTTGGAACTTATCCTCCAAAATTATAGAACATGAACATAAGTTCTACATAGTCTAGACATACATATATATATTGAACATAGAAACAGAGAGAAAAGACAAATTATAATTATAAGCTAATTATAATTTAGGCTTCATTCTCCTGGTTAGACTGCTTAGCTTGTATTAAATTTCCATTTCTTTATTTCACCTACCATTCCCGGGCGAGCTTCTTATAAGCCTTTTTAATATCAGCCTGACTGGCTGTTCGGCTGACCCCTAGGACTCTGTATGGGTCAAAATCCAACGCAGTCAGAATTTGCAGGATCAGAACCAGAACTATCAAGAACTGCCAGGAAAGGGTCAACTTTTTCACTTCCATTTCTCTTCCTTTCCAGAGCTGAAATGATTGAAGAGGCAGTAAGTTTTAGTGGCAGAAACCTGGACAGTCTTGTCTTAGATGAAAGTGTAAGATATATAGATGAAAAACAAAACAAATAAAAAGATATTTTGCAGGAAATGTGTCAAGCTCTGTGATCATCTTTTAAAGTCAATCATCTTGCTACTACTGTTGAATATCAAAATTAAGAAGTACTACAGACGAAAAGATGAGTAATAAGAATTAATAGCAACTCTCCAAGACCCTTGGATTAGAAAAGCTTATGACTCAAAATGAGTGAGATGAAGAAATAGTAAGTGAATATGTGAAAACAAATTTCATGTACCTTGACAACTTAAATGGTTTAAGAACACTGCAGTGCATACATGTTAAATAAGTTCATGAAATCATAAGACTTATCATGTGCTAAACTACAGAATGAGATCATTGTGGAGTTCTTTGGCATTAAATAAGTTTAAATATGAACTTTAAAAAAAACAGCTAAGACTTAATATGCTTCAATTACATTCTTCCTCACCACATCCATTCAAACAAGAAAATGAGAAGCCACTCTTTAATCCAATCATTAGCAATATGGTCACTATAAATTGAAATTTTAGATGAGAAAAAGTGGTGAGAAAAAATTTAGTTTTCCATGTAAAGAAGAATTCACTATTCAGGCTGAAAATTGGTATGGCCTTAAAATGTTTTAAGCTCTATCTGGTTTGGGAAAGAATTCTGGCTGGTTAATGAACAAGGTAGTGGGCAGTCCTGCTATTGTAGATATTTACACTCCAGGATTATGACCTTTGTAATACCATACGCTTTTTCATACCTATTATCTTGACTTTTCACAAATTAATAAAGTGTTAAGTGTGTAATGTGACACTTTAAGAGGGGCAAAGCTGCAACAGCGCTGGATTTTGACAGGTGGAGGACTAATGCTGGCCAGTGTCCTTACAAAACTGACTGATCTGGTGACCAATGTTAAAACTGCACATGTACTGAAAAAATCCTAAAGCAAAGCAGTTTCTTCCTTAAGACAACTGCCCTGTCGTGCAAAAAAGTGAAGGCTATGTAGCTACTGGTCAAGCACATGGACTTTGGAATCAGGCTAGGATTGGAATCCATTCTCCACAATTCTAAGACCTTGGGTAAAATAAAGGTACTAAGTCTGTGTCCTTAGTCATAAAACGGGAATGAGTAATACAGCCACCTTGAAGGGTCGTCAGGGGGGATTAAATGCACGTAACAGATTTACTAGCAGGGAGTCCACCGTCAACAGTGGTCGTATTCTCCCATGCAGTGCGTATACTGTGGTAGTCCCTTCTAGTTAGCGGTGATGGTGGTGGGTGTGAAGTTCTTTTGCTGACAGTTTCCAGTTCCACGGTGCCGGCCTCAGGCCAGGTGACAACCTGCCTAACAGGTAGGCTGCCGCCTTCAGGCAGCACCCCCAGGCTCGGGCAGAGGCTCTCGGGGACGCGCTCCGAGTGTGAGCCCGCCGCGAGCGCCCACTGTAGATCGCCACGTTCCAGGAGGCGACTCCCTCCCCCGCCGCCCCTGAAAGACCTGGGCTGGGCCCTGTCGGCTCCCGGTTCCCCCCGGGCCCATCGGGGACTGGGAACGAGAAGGAACTGACGGAAGATCCCTGAGCTTTCCCGGGCCCGCCGCGTTCGCGGCTCCGCGCGTCACGCCGGGAAAGAATTACCGGGAAAGGGCACTGGCCCAACCGGCTGCAGCGTCGGTGCTCCAGTTAGTCCGCCAGGTCGGGAGCTTCCCGTTCTCACCAGCGTTAGCCTGGATTTGGGAGGGGGAAAGAGGCGGGGACCAAGCCTAGGGAAGTCACGTGACATTTAAAGGGCCTGACAACGAAGGTACAACTGAACAGGTCTTGGGCTTTTAGTTTGCGAATCTGTCTTGACCCTTGCCACTTGCCGTCAGCGCGTGGACCTGGAGCGGTTGCTACAGAAACAAGGCGCGTTCTTTGGCTGGTTCCAAAAGCCAAATCGTGACCAAAGAGGCCAAAACGTGCTTCCTAGGGAGGCAATGTCGCTATGCATCACGGGATGCCAGTAAGACCTCCTGATCTAGGGAGGGGTTGCCACTCCTACCAGGAGGTGGCCCTCTTGTAGCAACGGTTGCTAGGATGGGGAAGCAATCGCTAGTCCCGGTTCTCTTTAACCCTATTCATAGAATCCTAGAGCGTCAGAGATGGAAGAGACCTTAGGGATCTTTTCTAGGCCACTTTCTCCATATGCTGAGGCCCAGAGAGGAGCAGGGACTTGCCCAAGGCCTAAAATCCAGGATGCCTGATCTTGTTTATCAATAAGAAGTTTCATCCCGGAATGTGCCAAGCCTGGATTTAAGCGCAGGAAAGGGAAGTGGTAGGAGGAGAGAAGGAGACACAGGTGAATGAAATAAACTTTCTTTCAGCCAATGAGATAGATCCTTTGAGGATATAAGGAAAGCAATTTCATTACTCCCTGCTGTGTTTTTAGGTTTTTTTCTCTTTTGTATTTATTACTATCGTAGTCTTTATTTATATTGTTTATCACTTGTCTCTTCCCACTGGACCGTGAGCTCCTGAAGGCAGGTTTTTTTTGTTTGTTTGTTCTTGTTTTTTTGAGACAGGGTCTCGCTATGTAATTCACGCTGGCTTTGAACTCACCATGTAGCCCAGGCTGGCCTTGCACTTGCAGCGATCTTCCTGCCTCAGCCTCCTGAGTGCTGGGATTACAGGCGTGCTCCACCACACCAGGAAAGGACAAGGGTTTTAACTTCTATTGTTCATCTCTATATTTCCCATGTCTGCCTTGATCTTCACAAGTACAGGCTTCTAGTAAATGTGAAATAAACGAAAGAATGGAGATAAGGTGTCTCCCTGGCCCCCTACTGGAGACTGAACTGAGGGCAAGTACTCTAGTACTGAGGTATATCCCAGCCCTGACGCTAAGGTTTTGCTGCTCAAGTGATTATATTTGTTAAACCAAAACCAGAGGAAGTCATTATTTTGGATTGAGCTCCTATACTAGGGATATAGGAAAAATAAAACTCCCAACCTACTAGATGTCAAATGTGTCAAGCTTGTGTCCTCCAAATATTGAAGAATGAATTCCAAGGGACAAAGGAGGTTAAGATTAAGAGCAGGAAAGGTTTATTAAGATAAAGCTCCTTCGAGACAGGAGGGGTCCCAAAAGAGATTGCCACTGAGGCCCTTTGTCAGGGATAATTTATTTTTGTACTGGGGATCAAACTTAGGACCTTGTGCTTTCGAGGTAGGTGTGGTGCCACTGAGCTAAATCCCCAGCCCCTGTCAGGGGTAATTTTATGCTGCAAAGTGGGTGCTATGTGGGTCAGACAACAATCAGCCTATAGGATTATAAGTATAGCCACTTAGCTAATATTGATCCAATAGGAAAATGAGTCACATAGCAATGGGAAGAACAGAAGTATTTTATGGAAGGGAGAGGAGTATGGATCCAGATGTTCTGGTCAGCCACCTAAGAGCCTGATGCCTATCTGGGCCTCCTGGACCAGGTAGTGCTAATTACAGTATAATTTTAAATTTCTGTTTATCTCTAGGGAGGTTGCAGGACTTGCTATTGCTTCTTCATCCTGAGGCCTGATTCTGTTCAGATTTGCCTCCAGCCGCAATTCTGATATCTCTACTTTTTTTTTTTGCTACCCGGGATCGAACTTGGGTCCTTCTGCTTGTGAGGCAGGTGGAACCACTGAGCTAAATCTCCGGCCCCTATATCTCTACTTTTTCGTGCTGACATCTGTGAGGATCCAATTCTTCTCAGACTGTATATCAATTTATATACTGGGACCTAACAGACCAAAATGGAGTCACTCATGCTAAAATTTCTGTCACAGAGCTGAAACTAGGTTGTTCATCTGAACTTCTGAGAAATCGGGGAGAGTGAATAATCAAATTTCAAAACAGGACAGTTTTAGCCAACAGGATGAGCAAGTCTCCTCTAACTTTTACAGGGAAAGTGACTTTGAGACAACCAACCGGTTTGTTTCCTGTTTCTGCTTTCCTCAGCCCTTTTCTGTCCATAAAATGAGCTCCCTGTGTTCAACTCATGAAAAAGCTCATTCTATGTTATGGAATAAAGTTCCTAATTCTAGAGCCACAAAGCAAAATGAGATCTATAATTTTGTTGTAACTTAAGTCTTCTGACATAATATAAGGTAAAGAGTGTGTAGTCAGGTTCAGTTTGCATCCTGCCTGTCCTCCTGTGTGACCTTGACTTCACTTCCTCCAGCCCACGACAACCTCTGTAACACACCACCTCTGTAACACACCGGGAAGATAACTTCCCTGGCAGGGCGGAGTCAGGCATGACTTTTAAAGGATATAAGACACTCGTACAACGACTTAGGAAACGCTCAATAGGAGCAATTATTCTGAAATGTGGAAATGAGTGAAACAAAACCATGAGAGTCAGAGGACTAAACTGCGTTTTTACTTAGTGGGAGGTGTGAGGGTGGGAGGGAGAGGACGATGAGAGACTGTGAAAAGCAAGCTTGGGTATGGAACAGTAGGCGGCAAGGTATGAGCTCAGGGAAGGGGAGGAAGACTTAAAATTTTATAGTCTGTGGGGAGGGGACGAAAGCGAAGCCATATCGCGAGGGGGCTGAAAGGGGCGGACAGACTGTGGCTTTAGGGGTGGCTTTTCCTCTAGCCAGTACTGTAGTTTGTGCAAACTCGTGAGTTCTGCCAAGGGTCCCTTCACAGATTGAAGAAAAGCGTCACAATCGGTAGGCGGCACGGACACGCCGGAGAGGGGATGAAACACGAAGGCCAGAGCAGGGAAGCGACTCTGGGGTGGATCCTGGTGGCGGGAGAGGGCGGGACGAGCAGAGCGGGGACTGGGCAGCGACGCGGGGCGGTCTTGGGGGCGGGGCACGGGGCCGGGGGCGGGGTCGAGTAGGCGGAGATGTGGGCGGCCGGAGCTCGGTGGGCGGGGAGGGGCGGGCCTGGTAGGGGGCGGGGCACGACCCCGAGGCCCGGAAGCGGCCGGAACCCAGGGCCAGCAGGCTTCCCACTATGGACGAAGAGCATCGGCAGCTCCTGCGGCGTTGCCGCGTGCGCCTGGTGGGTGACCTGCAGGTGGCCTCGCTGTGGGACGCTCTGCTGAATCGCGAGCTCTTCACCCCCGACATGATCGAGGACATCCAGGTGTGCCCCTGACCCCTCTCAGCCTGCATTCCCGCTTCTCGGCAGCGCGCGGGCTTCCAGGTCGCTGGTGGGGACGTCGGGGCTGCGCCAGGAGGGTTGCTGAAGTCGCAGCGTGACTTCATGGCCTGGTCCCCTCCCGCCTCTTCTCGCTGCATCATCCGGTATCCACCCCCTTTGGAGAACCACGGTGTGGGAATCCCGTTTTCCCTTCCTGTATCGAGACCCCCAAGCCTCCAGGGGAACCAAAGAATCTCATATACCTCTTTGTTGAGTGTTTGTTACAGCGATTTCGCGTCCTGCACTATCAGCGAGCCCTGTTAGTACCTGTGTTTCTTAAGAGGAAGTAGGCGTGTGTGTTTTTATTTTCTAGTGTAGAGGCTTAAGGCACTCACCTGGGCACTGCTTGGCACTGGGTCCTTGGCCAAGACATTTACTCTTTTTGAGTCTCAGTTTCCTGGACTGTGAAATGGTCAACAATAATCCTGTTTTAAGGGGTAAGTGAGATAATGGATGTCTAGGAGCACCCACTGTATGGCCGCTGTGGTAGTGGAAGAGGTTTGAGGCCGTATTCCCAGGGATCGCAAGCCCAAGGCCCTGGAGTCCCCACGGGTGGACACTATAGGGGGCAGCTTCTGCCCTACCCCATTCCCCGGCTGAAGTGTAGTCACACCAGTGCACTGGCCCATTCTCCCTGCGTCTTTCTCACTTTTAAAGAAAGACTGGAGATCTTGACTTCCTTGTCAAATTCCTGGACTTAAAATGTCAGGCAAGCCCGGTGTGTTGGGACCTCCCACTAAGCTACATCCCCAGTCTGTTTTATTTTCCATTTTGAGACAGGATCTTGCCACGTTATCTGTGTTGGACTTGAACTTGCTTATCCTCCGACCTCAGCCTACTGAGTAACTGAGATTACTGGTATGTGTCATCCCCCCCCCCCCCACGGTGGCCTTTGGATCCTGAGGAACTTATCTGGTGCTGAGTCTAAGGATGGGCAGCAGAGAATGAGGCTCAAACTCCTGCCCCTTTAGTGAGCAGCCCCATCATCTTGACACCTGTCTGTTGTCCTTGCCTTTCCTCCATTTTCACGGTCAGGACCCACGTCCTGCACATCTCCCTTCTGTCCTCTCTGCTTCCAGTTCAGCTGCACTGTGTGCCACTTCCTGGCCTGCTGGTGGCTCACCCTTTCCCACTGTTCACCCTGTCCCCAGAATAGTTTTTCTAAAAGGCAGATCGCACCCTGTCTTTCTCCCTTGAACTCTTCAGTGGCTCCTTGTAGATCTCAGGATGAATTTCGTGGCCTGGCCAAGCAAAGGCCTGACCCTTACCTCTACCTGCTTCTTCCTCTTACATGCTTGAATTCATGATTGACTTCCTTGTCTCCCCTAAGCTATCCTTTCCTGACCCACAGGGCTGAGTTGGGGGTTCCTGTGCCCTGCCAACCCCATGGGCTCTCCCAACTGCATTTGTCTCCTTTCTGTGTCCTTGCTGGCTTGTCTGTCTGCACTCCCACTGGACATTTACACCCAAGGACAGCCCTGTGTACTGCTGTGTTTTCAGCACTTAGCACAGTGCCAGGCACAGGAGATGCCTCTGAAACACCACACAAGTAGCTATGCAAAGGCCATAGAGGGGCACACGCCCAGTGCACCTGCAGGCTCAGTTTCTGCCCATGTGCTTGGCTGATCAGATTTATGTTACATGGGGAGTTGGGGACAAGATGAGGGCCATATGAAAGTACCTGGCTAAAGAGTGTCTGGTCTTTGTGTCCCAACAGCGGGCAGGCTCTGGATCTCGGCGGGACCAGGCCAGGCAGCTGATCACAGATCTTGAGACCCGAGGGAGGCAGGCCCTTCCTTTGTTCATCTCCTGTTTAGAGGACACAGGCCAGGACACATTGGCTTCATTCTTGCGCACAAGTTGGCAAGCAACAAAGAGGGATCCAGAGGCCATCAGACCCCTGGACCTTGAGCCTATGGTGGTGGGACCAATGGGGCTCAAACCAGAGAAGCTGCAAGTGATGAAGCCGGATCCTTCAAACCTGGCCCCAGGAAATGTCACTCCAGTGGTGCTGGGGCCGGAGGAGCTTGCACCAGCTCAGCTCAGGCCAGAGGTTCTCAGACCAGAAGCACCCAGACCAGTGGACATTGGCTCTGGAGGATTCAGTGATGTCCGTGAGTATTGCAAGAGTGCTTGGTGGGTGGCGAGTGGTCACTGGAAGTGACCATGGTACAGCTGGGTGGGCTGAGATGCAGAGTTTAATTATGGTGTTGTCTTACAGAGTATTCATAGAGATGGGTGGAATGTTCCTGTAGCTCTTCATGGGATGTAATTTTGGCAACCTGTCCTCTGAAAAGCAGATGCTGAAGTCTGTTTTGGGTACTCAAGTTCCCGATCAGTGTTTCTAGATTGAACTGTGGTTCAGGGCCCTGGTGAGTCGCTTGGACTAGCCCATGGCTGGCAGCTGGAGGGAGTTTGTTTTTTTTTTGGTATTGGGGATCGAACTCGGGACCTTCTGCTTTTGAGGCAGGCAACGGCACCACTGAGCTAAATCCCCAGCCCGGGAGGCCTCTGTTTGCTTGGAGTCTTTTCTCTCTCTCTCCCTCTCTCTCTCTCTCTCTCTCTCTCTCCTTCCCCCTCTCCCTCTTTCCCTCCAGCACATACCTTATCTCTTTCCATCACAGCAGCCCCACAACGCAAGCAAGCCTTGTCAGTGATGTCAAATAATTTATCCAAAACCATCGGGTTCATCCAGTAAAGTATAAAAAGTAAATGAATTCCTAGGGTACAGATGGTTTTTACCCACAGATACACACAGGTAGCCATCACCCAGATCATCACCATACAGAACATTCCAAGAGGCAGGAAGCTCTTCTCTTCCAAGTGTGTCCCACTCTCCAGCTGAGATAATCACCATTCCAGTCTCTGTCACCATGATCCCTATTGGTTCTCCTTGAATCTCAATATAAATGAAATCCTGTGGTATAAACTCTGTTGTTATTGGTATAAACTGTATTGGCTTCTTTCACCCATTATTACATCTGTGGAATTCAGTCATAATTGTTGGGCATATAAGAGTTCATTCTTTTTCTTTGCCAGGTGGTAGTGGCTTCTGTTCCAGAGAATCCACAGTTTATTTAACCATTTTGCTGCATGGGTTGATTTTAGTTAGGGCTATGTTTCTGCCCAGCGCTTGGAGATCTAGTGCTGCGCTTCCTGTTTCCTGTTTTCCTGGTAGACTCTTGCACTGTAGCAATGTTAATAGAACAGTAATGGCTAAAGTTACCAAGTACTTACTATCTGGTGAGCACTCTTCAGAATTTTTGCATAAAGCATCTAATTTAATCTTCCCAACTCTCAATTTTCCCATTTTTCTGTGGAGCAGAGGAAGCCACAGACTGGAAAGTGAATTTTCCCAAGTACAGAATGAGTGAGAAGTGGACAGGACTGTGGTCTGGCCTTCCTTGTTCTCTCTTCCACTGTATCACCCCACCTGTTCCTTGCACTGAGTCATTTATCCACCCCCTGATGGATATTTGTGCTGTTTCTGTTTGAGCTTTGATGTGCATCTCTCTCTGACTGGGGGACATGTTTCTCCAGATGGAACTGTGGGTTAATGGGGTACTTGTTCTCTTCTGACAGATACTTCCAACTTGAATTTCAAAAACGTGTTATCATCTCAGTGGCTGTGAGCGAGGCAATCGTTTTCCCGTACTCTTGCCAATGACGAATATCAATATTTTTTCCTATGATGTAAAAAGTGGTATCTGTCCTGAATAACTGATTTTGGATAACTTGTTAAAACAGAAAAACAGGGCCAGGGATTCTCAGTGGTTCTGTCGCCTGCCTCGCAAGCTCAAGGACCCTAGTTTGATCCCTGGTACCAAAAAACACAAAAAACAAAACAAAACAAAAAACAGAAAAACAAACATGATGAAGACATGAGGTAGAAGGGAGAAGACCAGTTGTGGAATTGTTCATAGGCACTGTTATTTTGCTGGAAAGGAGGCAGAATACAAAGTTCATCTCTTCTTATCTGTTCTGTGAATTTGAGTGGTTTTTGACCAGCTGTTTGGACTTGAACCGTCCTGTTCTTTTATAAGGTATTTTATTTCCTGTTTGTTGTAAATATTTATTCCCAGTAGGAGCCTCATTCTAAGTGTAAATAATAATAATAGCAAGAATAGGATCAGTTTGAATGGGAGTATCCCTTTATGGTGCACTCAGTGCATTTTCAGGTCATCAAAACCACACTGTAAAGTGGTGGCCAGGAAAGCCTCTCTGTTATTTTATCCCCCACTTACCAGGGAGGAAGCTGGGGTCTGACAGTGACAGTCATGGAGGGAGTTCCATGCAGAGCTGGGACCAGGGCCTCCCCGTGGCTTCACAGATGGACTGACTCCAATGCTGCTGACAGGTGTCCCTTTAGGTGCTGGGCTTGAAGCCCCTGAATACCATCCAGGAATATTTCCCAAGGCAGGTTCATGGGGACCATGCAGAAGACTGCTGTAGGTGTGTAGCTGGGGCAAGCTCTGGGTGAGAAGGAGCAGGCTGCCGACAGGACTTGGCAGAAACTTTACAAAGCTCAAAGAGGAAAAGGTGCCATAGACCATTGCATCTCAGCCGGGGATAGTTTTGCTGCTGCTGGCATCTAGTGGATAGAGCCCAGGGATGCTTCTACACTAAATATCCTGTGATGCCCAGGACAGCCTTAGGGCTCAGTGGCTGAGTGCTCATATAGCAGAGGCCTGCTGTCCATAGTAAAGAGTGATCTGGGTCCAGGTGAGTGTCCCTGAGTAACTGAGTGCTTCTTCTTCTTTTTTTTTTTTGGTACTGGGGATCAAACTCGGGACCTTGTGCTTGCGAGGCAGGCGTCGGAACCACTAAATCCCTGGCCCTCCTGAGTAACTGAAATGACCATGCTCAGGTTTACTGATGTGTGAGGTACTGTTTTGTGGGTGGAACATGTAATCATCTTTTTTCTTTTTGAGGCAAGATCTTGCTAAATAGTTCAGGCTGGCCTCAAACTTCCTGATGATCTCCCTGCCTCAGCCTCCTGAGCGCTGGGATTATAGGCGTGTGCCACCATGCCTGGCTTGTAATTGTCAGTTGAACCCTCACCACAGCCCTGTGAGATTGGTAGTTACTCCTGTTGTTCCATGATACAGAAGGGAAGAACAGAAGCTCAGAGGGTCTAAGCAATTTACACAAGGTCGCACAGCTGGTCAGCAGTGGAGTTGGGATTTCAACTCTGGAACCCCAAGGTCCAGACTAACTCCATCAACTGCCTTAACTAATGGCTCATTCTCTTTCTGGTCTCTATATTTGTGTCATTTTCTCCTTAGTCACTCAAATATTTGCCAAGTACCTGCTGGGGATGCAGCATTGGCATGGGACGTATAGTCCTTGCGTTCACACAGAGGGGCAGACATCTGGTTCATGCCTATGTAGTTAGGTCTTTTTTTGTTGTTTTGGTATTGGGGATTGAACCCTATGTCTTTACCTAGACCTGTATCCCTAGTATTTTATTTTTTATTTTGAGCTAGGATCTTGCTGAGTCACTAAGTTACCCAGCCTCGGCTCAAACTTGGCAGTCCTCCTGGGCTTAGCCTCCTAGAGTGTTGGGATTACAGGTGTGTGCCACCACAGCTGGCTTCCAATTGGTCTTTAATTACAGCTGTGGTTAGGGCTATGAAGAAGTTGAGCATAGCGCTTTGGGGGCGCAAGGCACTGGGGCCACCAGAGAGAGTATTTGTCTTTATACACTGGAGGGAGAACGCCCCTTCCTTCAGAATGGAATTAACCTTTTCACTTTTAGCTGTGATACCCCAGTGTGTGCATGCGTGCCGTCTGCCAGTGCCTTCCCTGCCTCTTTCTGTTGGTGGCCCTGTGTAGATCTGTTCCCTCCAGCCTGTGGGCCCCCGAGAACACCCGTTTTGCTTTGTGGATTGTTAGTGCTGATTGGACAATGAGCGAGTTCCTTGGTAGTGGGTAATGGTTATATTTTTGGGATGCAGTAGAATTTTGGAAATGAGTAAATATGCTCAGAACTGGGTCTGTAGACTTGCAGGAGTCTTTGGGTGAAGTAAAACCATTTGTAATTTAAAAATCAGGATGTGACTTCTTTTCTGGTGTGGCTTTGAAGTTGGCAAGAGCCCAGTTCCCAGCAGGGGCCAGGTCCACTCGGCTCTGGGCAGTGCCCTGCCATGTTCTCCTTGTTTAGAAAGGAAAAACGGATCTCCCAATCTTGTTGGCTGGTGGTTGGTTGATTCTTGCTAACTGAAACAAAAACGATTTTGATATGGAAGGAAAATGAATATCTACACATTTAGTCTCATTCCGCAAATATTTCCAGGGTTGCCTACTGTGTGCCAGGCCCCATGGACCCCACAGATGGGAATCTCTGCTGCCTGGGCCACCCTGCCCTTTCTGACCTGGCATTTCTCAGTCCATACTCCACGTCATCTGGCTTTCTTTTACACAGCGTCATGTTTCTGCTGCTACCTGTGGTGTCACGCACTCAGTACCTGGGTCCCCCTTAGGCTTCATGGTGTTCCCTGTGGCCGAGTCATGTACTTTGTGTGTCCATGAACTTGCTGGTGGTTGATTCCAGTGTGCGGCTTTATGAATGAGGCCTCCAGGACTGTTCCACACCTGTTCCTGTTCCCTCCTCATGGATTTGAACCTGGGAGAGGTCATGGGGTAGGTGTGTTGGTTTCGTGAGAGACTTGTAGCCAGTTCTCAGGTGGCTGAGCTGGTTGTCTCTCCCACCGGCAGAGCCTGAGGTCCCTGAGTCCCTGCTCTCCTCTGCTTTGTGGGGCCATCCTCACACGGTCCCTTGGCCTTTTCCTTGTGGACCCTGGCATTCACATTTCCCTTCTCTGTCTCTCCAGGTGCTCAGGAGAGGCTGAAGGGAAATACACATTTGGTGAGTTCTCAGTCACGAGGGGCCAGTGGGTGTGGCCTGCCCCTCTCCTATCCCCAGGCCCTTCCCTGCCCCCAGAGCCTGGGGCCCCTGGCCTAGCTGGAGAGTGAGGTTTTGGTCCCCATCCTCCACAGCCCCAGGCCCAGCACTTGCTGAAACAGATTGTCCCAGCCTGCACTTCTTCTGTCAAGCTTGGGGGACATAGCTCACGAGGGGTGGGAATCAGCACTAAATCCCTGTTGCTGTGATTACTGTGTGGCTCTTGTGGGCTCCGTGCTGTTCAAGACCACACAGTCCTGTGGAGCCATGTGGCAAGGGACAGAGAAGTTAGGCAAAGGAATGTACAAAGGTAGAGTGACAAGAACGGGCTGTTGTGGGTGGGAATTGTAGGGGCCTGAGGTGCTGACAGAAGCCCCAGGCAAGAGCCTGTGTGTAAGAGGTCCTCTGGGGCAGGTGTTTGTGTCTGGGGCTCCTCTGCCCCCCTCCCTGAGGCCTGAGCTGGGAGCCAGCTTCTCTGCCCTGGCATGCTAGGTGGGGACCCTGCCGCTCCTGCAGAGGGAGGGCAGAGCCCAGGTCTCGTGCCACCCCTCCATATTGTCACCACGTGTGCAGGAAGTAGGGGTCACCCTGGGTTTATACTGGTCCCTGTGCCTGGGCAGGCATATGTCCTGAACGCGGACCCTTGTGGCCACTGCCTCATCATCAACAACGTGAACTTCTGCCCAGCGTCGGGGCTCAGCTCTCGCACTGGCTCCAACATCGACTGTGTGAAGATGCAGCACCGCTTCTCCCGGCTGCATTTCCAGGTGGAGGTTAGGGGTGACCTGACTGCCAAGGTACAGCCACTGTCTGGGGATGGAGACGGGGGTGAGTGGGGCAGTGTCCTGTGAGGGACCCCGAAAGCCAGCTGACTCCCCAGATGAGCCCTTACATCTCTAGAACCACAGGAGGCCATGAGGCTCCATGGTTACAGCTCAAGCATCAGATTCAGGGATGGAGGGTATGAAGAGTGGCTCTCTCGGCTGCCTGATAGTGCGCTCCTGTGCCTCAGCTTCCTGGTCTAGAAAGCAAGAATAATCCCCTGCATTGGGCTGTTTTGGGGATTAAGTGAACAGTCCCTAAGCACAGCACCTTTTCCCTGAGAATGGTGATTGTGATTTCAGTCTTGGTCCCTGGACGCAGAGACAGTGCCCTGCCCTGGCCTTCAGCAGGAAACAGGAGTCAGGGTTTGGGGACAGCTGACCTGCCTGAGCCTCCGGCTCACCTGCAGCCTTCCCTTCCTGTAGGAAATGGTCTGGACTTTGGTGGAGCTGGCACGACGGGACCACCACGCTCTGGACTGCTGCGTGGTGGTTGTCCTCTCTCATGGCTGTCAGGTAGGAGCCTCCCCCTCCCAGCCTTGCTCCTTTGGCAGGACAGGATAGCTGCTGTCCCCAGAGCCTCCACAGGCACCCTGTTCCTTCCTACATCTGCAAGGCCCGTGGCTTCCTGGGAAAGAGCTGTGGGGCCTTGCCCAGCCCCTGGTGTTTCCCAGCGCCACCTGGTCCTCTGAGGAGTTGGAAGCACCTTCCTAGGTGGGGCGGAGTCCTGAGAGGAGCCATCTGGGAGTGGGAGGGAGGGGACAAGGTCTGTTCTCAAAACTGTACCTCTGGGTTTTGTTCCCAGCCTCTGCTCTGCCCTGTCCTTCAAGGCCCTTGGCTGTGGGTGGGACTCAGGACCCAGGACCCACTCATGTGCTGGCGCATTGGTGGCCAGTCCCTTACTCCTACCTGGACCTTGGTTTCCTCGGGGGTTGGACAGACTAGCAGTCACAAGCTGGTGGCTCTGAGGTCCTCTATGGGCTTGACAGTGTTTTTATTTTATTTTTTTCAGTACTAGGGATTGAACCTGGGACCTTCACACTGAGCTACATCCCCAGCTCTCTTTTTATTTTTTATTTTGGGACCGGGTCTCATTAAGTCATTAAGTTGCCCAGGTTGGGCTCTTGAGCTCTTGATCCTGCTGCCCCAGCCTCCTACAGAGCTGGGATTACAGGTGTGTGCCTCAATGCCTGGCTTCACAGTGTTCTTAAAATTGGCAAATTTCTTTCAGCTTCTCATGAAAAACCCCAAGGTCTGGCCTGACTGGCCCAGCATCCTTACAGTGCAACTCTGGCCTGCCGCTGGCAGGGGCTGCCCTCCAATCCGTCTCCTCCTAGCACGGTGCAGGGCATCTCCTGAGAGCCTGTGAGAAATGCAGCCCTCAGGCCCCCACTGCGGAGCTCTGCATTCAGAGTCTGGACTGTGACCAGGCCCCATGAGACTCCTGAGCAAAAAGCTTGAGCTAGAGCAGCGACTCTCAGCATTTAGCTTCCGCAGAGATGCCCAGAGGACCACATTGTTGGTTTCAGAGGTCCAGGTGGCTCTGGAATCTGCATTTCTTCCAAGTACCTGGCGGATGTGGATGTTGCTCATCCAGGGGCTACCCTCTGGGCCCACTGGTGTGGAAGCAGTTGGCTGGCACTGTCAGGCCATCTGGACCTTCCAGGTGTGTGGGTTTGTGACCCTTGCAGCAGATGCTGACCAGGGTCCTTCCAGAGCCAACCTGCTCTGACCCCGTCAGCCTAGACCCCATGAGGCCACTGGGAAGGCCCTGATTCCTACCCTTGTGCCTTGGTTTTGTGACCAGGGTTCTTGGTCCTCTAGGCCAGCCACCTCCAGTTCCCAGGTGCTGTCTACGGTACAGATGGATGTCCTGTGTCTGTCGAGAAAATCGTGAACATCTTCAGTGGGACCAGCTGCCCCACCCTAGGAGGGAAGCCCAAGCTCTTTTTCATCCAAGCCTGTGGTGGGGGTAAGCAGTTCCTCAGTCCCTTTGAGTGTGGCTTCCTTCCCCACCCAGCCCCCTACCTATTGCTCCAGGCAGTCAGAGGTCACTGTCGCCATGGGGTGACACCTGCACCAGCTAGAGTAGGCTAGGCCTCATCTGCTCCAAGGAGACTAGTTTTCATTTCCAGGTGCAGCAGTGTCGGGCTCATGTGACTGTGGCAACTATAGCTTCAGAGGCTTGGGCAAAAATTAAGTGGAGGACAGAGTGGTGGTACCTTTTTATTTTCCTCATTATCATGATTCTCCAACCTCCACTGCCTGGATAGAATCTCTTTCCACTGACCTAGAGAAAGGGAGGTCACAGCCAAGCTGCAAGGGGAAACTAAAGAATTTAATTATTGGAATTCCTAAGAGCCCAAGTCTTTGTGAATTGGGGAAAATTTTAAACATTATTTGGATTATTTACAGTTTTGCTTTATGCCTTGTATCTTAGTCCACTTTCTGTTGCTATAATCAAGTACCACAGACTGGGTGATGGATGAAGAATGGAGGTTTAGTTAGCTCACAGTCCTGAAGGCTGGGCAGTCAGGAGCATGGTGCCAGCCTCTGGTGGGAGCCTTTTGCTGTACCTAAACATGGCAGAAGGCATCATAGGGAGATAGAGGAAGTATGCCAGCTTGGGTTTCTGCCATTGTTTTTGTTGTCATTTTCCTCTTCTGCTTCCTCTCCCCCCACCTTCTTCTTTTTTCCTCCCTCTCCTCCTCCATTTTCCCCTCCTCTCCTTCTTGACCTTTCTCCTTGTCCTCCTCCTTCATCATCATCATCATGGTCATCATCATCATCATTGGCTCCACAGGGTCTCACTTGCCTGACTTTAAACTCCTGCACTCAAGGCATCCTCCCACATCAGTCTCCTAAGTAGCTCGGAATGTCATTACACATCACCATGCCAGGCTTCCTTCTCTTTGTAAAGCCACCAATGCCATCGTGAGGACCCCACCCTTACAATCTCACCTAATTCCGATTACTTCCTGAGATCCTCACTCTGAACACCACTAAAATCTGAATTTAGGGATTAAGTTTCCAATACATGAACTTCTGTGGACACATTTAAGTCACAGTACTCTGATTTTATTTATTTAATCATTGACTTATTTTAGTTTTTTTTGAGATAGGATCTCTTTTATGTTGCCCAGGCTGAACCAAACTCCTGGACTCAAGCAGTCCTCCTGCCTCAGCCTCCCAAGTAACTGGAACTATAGGCTTATGTCACCATGCCCACCTAGCACCCTGATTTTAATCTTACCCCTACTTCATCGTTACCTGGTTTCCTGGCTTGTGGATCATGGTGGTGATTGCAAGGAACACTAAAAGTTCCGTTCCAGGGGGTCCCTTCACTGTGGCTCTCTGGGGCTGGGACATTGGAAAGGCATGTCTGCTGCTTGTGCCACAGCCTGAGCTGGCAGAGAGGTGGGCATTATTTTACCAAGAGCTGCTCAGCTTGCCCAAGGAGCCCATGCACATCCGCGCCTGTAACATGGAACCTGTGCTGTGTCTCCTTGTCCTGCGTTATGCAGCACTGGGAGTTTTCTAGGGGAACAGGCCCTGGCCACATGATTCACCCAGTGGGTGCTCACTGAGTACCTGCTGTGTTTGCCAGGCCCTGTTAGGTTGCTAGGTGCCAGGGTAGAGGGAAGGGACAGTCTCTGTCCCCTGGGGTTTATTCTTTGACATGAACTATGAGAGGTCACTGTCATGGCGTGCCCATAATTTGGCTTTGAGGATGGAGAAGACCTGGACTGGCTCCCTACTGAGTGGCCCGGGTGGTTAATCTCTAGTGTCCCACAAATGGGATTCACAGTGGGTCCCACCTGGTGGTGTTGCTGTGAAAATGTGCCAGTCACCATGTGTGGGGCCTGGCTTTGAATGACCACACACCCCACCGCAAGGACCCAGGGCCACCTTAGAGCCCCTTTCCTCCTGTCCCAGTGCTATTACCTCAGAAGAGTGGGAACATGAAGGGGGAAGCTGTCGCTCTTGGGGTTGTAGAAACCCTGCTCTCACTTCGCCTTTCTCTGTATCCAGAGGTGCTCTGACTCGGAGGCCTGGGGTCCTCTTTTCCCCTGGGAATCACAAAGTAAGCTAGGAATGAAGCTGAGTGAGGATCCCAGCTTTCTGGGACAGCTGGTGTCTCCCGCATCCATTCTCAGCAGCAAGGGGGACCTTTGTCACCTGCACATCTGTGATGTCACTCTGTAGACTCCTACAGGCCTCCGGTGACCTGGTTCCTACTACCAAGTATTATCACTGCCTACAGGAAGTCTTCCCTAAACATCCCCTTTCTTGCCCAAGGTCGAGGATAGCAGGCCCTTGTACCCTGAAGCCCTGTGTTTCCCCTGTTGTGGCACCTGCTCCTGGGCCTGGGATGGCCTTGCTCCCCACTCAGGTAGCGCTCCAAGGGCACGGTCAGGCTTGGGCCTACAGATGGGTCCCCGGCCCGGCACACAGCTCACATTCTGGTTGCATCTTACATGGACTCTCATTATTTGAATTTAGGATAGAACCATATAAAGCTAAGCAAAACTTGAAATAATGTATACTTCTGCCATGAAACAAAATAAGTCAAAACCTACTGGGAACAGCAGGATTTCGAAGCTGAATTAAGGTAATTAATATGGACTAAGATGCTGGGACTAAGATGCCCCCTCTGGAACTCCAGGTCCTGCTTTGTCTCTATCAGGCTGTGTGACCAGTGTTTAAGGCTTTTGCCACATCAGCCAAGAACGGAAGTACAGCAGTGTCACTGCCTGTCTTAGATTTTGGTGACTGTTGTATTGCTATTTTTAAATTTGCCATTATAATATAAAGATAATTAATTACTTGGCAGTACCGCTGATGGATCCTGGTGCCTCCCGCATGCTAGGCAAACACTGCCGCTGAGCTACACCCTAGCCCAGTTTTTAAAATTTTATTTTCAGACAAGTCTTTGTTAAATCACTTAGTTGCCCAGGCTGACCTTGAACTTGGAATCTTCCTGCCTCATCCTCCTGAGCAGCTAGGATTACAGGTGTGCCCCACCAGTCCTGGTGAAACAATTTGTCAAATCCTACAGTATATCATCCCTTCTCTTCACCAAGATAAGGCAGGACCAGGGCTGGAAAATGTGGCTCCAAATGGGGGACCATGGGGTGCAGTGCCAGTGAGACACGGTGCTGGACAGTGTGATCACTTGGACAAAGCCAAGCAGCTGCTGCCGTCAGGCCAAGTTGTCAATCTGGGGGTGACCCCTCTTCAGAATTCAGAGATCATGCCAAGAAGGCAGAAAGCACTGTGCTGCAGGGCTTGTGTGTTTTACATGCTGAAGGAACATGCTGCACCCACTGGGAATTCTTATGGGGGAGATTGTTTTGCCTGCTAGGGAGTTTGGAGTTAATGAAGCTCTCTAAGGACCAAGCCACACATACAACATGAACCCCCAGGCTATGCCTTCACACCAGATGCACAGAGGGAGGGTGACATGAACGGAGCTGCAGCTGGTGTCCCTGTCTGACTCACCACGCCCCTTTCCCATACCCCTCTCTCATTCTGTTGTGCCTTTTTTACACGTAGTGCCTCTGCTCATCCTCATCTCCTTCCACCATCCTTATGGCATCCCCCATGCATTAATCAGTTTTCTGTTGCTATCATGAAATAGCTGAGGCTGGTTGCTTTATAAAGAGAAGAGGTTGATTTGACTAACAGTTCTGGAAGTCTAAGCATGGAAGTGCTCCTTTCTCTGAGGTTTTATAAGTTTGAGAAGGGCTTTTCTTTGTCAGAGAAGCACGAGTGTGTCTCAGTGACAAGTGGCACTGGTTTCTGCTTCCCACAGAACAGAAAGACCATGGGTTTGAAGTGGCCCGCACTTCCCCCAACGACGAGGCCCCTGGCAGCAGCCCTGAGTCAGATGCTGTCCCATTCCAGGCAGGCCCGAGGCCCCGGGATCAGACTGACGCCCTGTCGAGTTTGCCCACACCCAGTGACATCCTCGTGTCCTACTCCACCTTCCCAGGTGAGCTCGTCCTCCAGCCATTGGGTCCCACGGCACCGGTGACTCCGAGCATTGACTTCACCTCTCTGACCCCAGCTCAGGTCAGGTGGTGAGGCACGGCACTGGGGGCACAGTTTAAGGAGTCTCCATCCTTGGGTTTGTGTGCCTCCCCCCTCCAGCCCTGCCTCAGTCGTCTCACCTGTAAGATGGGGAAAGTAGTTGTACCTTAGCGGGTGTTGTGGGTGCCTGACTCAGCACCTGGTACAGGACAGAAAGAGCACCATGCTTCTGTCTTTGCCCCCTCGAGTGAGTCCTGTGACTTTTGGGGCCTTGGTTTCCCTGCTGGGAAGACAGGAGCCAGCTGAAGTCGGGGTGTAGTAAGGTCATGAGTAGTACACAGCTGCGGGGACCTGGCTGCTCCTGTGTGAATGAGTCATGGTCTGGAGATGGCTGGACCACTCGTGTTCCACAAGGGGGTGGCTCCCCAAAAGTTTGGGGCTTCCTCCTCCCAAAGGTTTCGTCTCCTGGAGGGACACCTCACGCGGCTCCTGGTACATTGAGACCCTGGACGGCGTCTTGGAGCGCTGGGCTCCCTCGGAAGACCTGCAGTACCTGCTGCTCAGGGTGAGGGCGCCTTCCTCCCTGGGCTAGGGGTGGGGCTGCTGGTGGCCCAGTGTGACCTCTGCAGGGCAGAAAGGGGGTGACACCCAAGGCATGATGTTGTCAGGCCTTGTCTGGTGCTGGAGCCATGGAGAGGCTGTGAGAGTTGGCAAGCTGGGGACTGAACCCTAGGTCTTTACACTAAACCATATCCCCAACCCCTTTGCACTTTTTTACTTTGTAAGGTCTGGCTGAGTCACCCAATTGCTCAGGCTAGGCTTAAACTTGTGATCCCCCTGCCTCAGCCTCCCAGAGTTCTGGGATTACAGGTATGAGGCACCACACCTGTGTTGGTGGGTATGGCTTCTCTTAATGAGGCCCATGACTACCTGTGGTGACAGTTGTCCTTTTTCCAAAGGGCCACATTACCCTGCCTTCTAGGATGCCCCTTCTGGCTGTCCTCAGTGCCGGGGTGGGACAGCTCAGAGGTCAGAGCATAATGTGCCTGGAGGCCAGCTGTGCCCTGCCCCACCCATGAACCTTTTGTCTTTTGCTGTTGACCCTGAAGCATCCAACTCTCCTTTAGGGCATCCTCCCGCTTCCTGGGAGAGGCCCCGCCCCACTCTATGAACAGCTAATCAGAGCCCCTGGCTGCCAGGGAATGCAGGTGGGTCCCTCCTGCTCTGCCTTGTGTTCTGCACCAGGAGGGGCTGCTGGACCACACCTTGCTCCAGAGGGACCTTCTGGCCTGAGCTTTGCCCAGGACAGGAGACAGGCAATGCAGGGAACTCAGGTGCCACAACCCTGGACCTGTGATCCACAGAGGCCACCAGGGCCCAGCAGGGCAGGGGTGGAGGACAGCCAGGGCAAAGCCTTTCAGTCTGCTCCTGGTCCAGATCCTCGTCTCTTCCCTCAACCTTTCTTCACGGAAACCTCTCAGTGTGAGTGGAACTTAGTGAACTTTTATGTTTTGACATTGTGATTTTTGTATTTTTTGTTGTTTTGGTTTTTTGAGACATGGGTCTCGCTATTTAGTCCAGGTTGGCCTCAAATTCAAGGTAATCCTCCTGGCTCAGCCTCCTGAGTGCTGGGATTTCTGGAGGCACCACCCCATCCTGTGATTTTTGTGTTCTTGAGCTCTGCAGTCCAGGTGCTTGCTCTGTAACCCACTTGAAGAGCCTGCAGGTGGAGCTGTTCTTCCTGGGCCCATTTAGCAGACACCCCAGCTCTCTTGAACTCTGGAATCACTGGAGAGCCCTGAGCTCACAGACTTCCTGTGGTTGTGTTTTTGCAGGTTGCTAATGCTGTGTCTGAGAAAGGGATTTACAAACAGATTCCTGGTTGCTTTAATTTCCTCCGGAAAAAACTTTTCTTTAGAACCGAATGAGATCAGGGCCGCACACTCTGTCTTATCATTCACTCCACACCCTTCCTGCTGCAGCAGGCCTGGAGGTGGCTGCAGCCCCAATGTCCCTCTAAGTCAAGGTGTTGGGAGACGGCACTTCCGTGACTGGTCTCAGGAGCTCCCAGATTGAAGAGCAGTGCCCATTCGTGGAGGAAGAGGAGCAGAGAGCTGTGGACTCCATGAGGCCTCCTTCTCAGAGCTGCCCTGGGCTGAGCCTGGCTGTCACCCTATTCTCTAGAGCTGAGCTCCTCACCCTGCACTGCTGCCGTGGAGCCCAGATAACCCTTGGTCCTGGGCTCAGCCTGACCATCATAGGCTGCTTTGTGCCCTCCCTGGCCTCCACCTGCCAATGCCAGTAGCAGCCCTCCACCCTGCACTGTGCTGATCAAAGACATCTTCAGACATTGCCAGCTGTGCCCTGGGACAGAGGTGTCCCCCTGGAGCAGTACAGATCTGCAGGGATTTGTGGCTACAGACAAAGCAGTCTCTGTCAGGTGAACAAGCTTAGGCTACTGGAGTCTAAACAGCTTAGGTAGGCCTGGGGATTCTAAATGAAGTTTCAGGGGTGGTTAACATTCCTTTTATTACTTTTTTTTTGGCACCAGGGATGGAACTCGTGACCTTGCGCTTGTGAGGCAGGTGCAGGAACCACTGAGCTAAATCCCTGGCCCCTATCCTTTTATTATATTATTGAGTCTTAAAAAATAAATCTTAGGTGAATATGGACTCTTTTGCCTCTGTCCTTCCTCATTTGCTTCAGGTCTTTTTTCTTTCTCATAAAGGAGACTTTTGCTATTTTCAGAACATTTCCCCAGAGTGAGGTGTGGTGATGCATGCCTATAATCCTAGCTACTGCAGAGGCTGAGGCAGGATGATTGCAAGTTCCCAAATAGCCTGGGTAACTTTGCAAGACCCTGTCTCAAAATAAAATAATTTCTGAAGCAATGGTGGCAATCGTATGGCATGCATGTTATTTGTTTTTCTTTTAAGATAAAAGATGTCAATGTATGAGTTATTTTTTCTAAACTAAAACTTTAGTATTCAGGTTTAGTTGCAGTGTTGGCACTTTGTGATAAATAAGTGGGTTTTGGTTTGCCGTTGGGCACTCATCTCTAAAAGGTTCCATCACTGGCTAGGGTGTGTTTCAGTAGTAAAGCACTTGGCTGGGTTCAGTCCCCAGAACTGCCAAACAAAATGAAACAACTACAAACCCATTTCCCCATGTCTAATTTCACTCGATCACCACCCCAGCCCAAGTAGTTACTGAGGTGGAGTCCACGGGCCCAGAGAGGTTAAGCGTCTTTTCCAGGAGAGCATAGGCACCCAGTGGAGACACCTGGCCGGAGTCTGGGTCCCCTGTCCTGACCCCATCTCCCATGCCCCCTTCCTTGCTGAAGGCCACAGGCCCCAGAGTGCAGCGTGGAAGTGCTGGGCTTGTGCAGAGCAGCCCTTGCTTGTTCTCAGGACCTGGAGGTTGGGATGGATGTTTACTAGTAAGACTGACCAGGGTATGATTCATGCAGTTGTCACTTTATTATCATTTTCTTCCTGTCACCTTCCCGGGTCTGACAGTCCCGAGACTGCTCTGGTTAGTTCTTTGCGATTACCTGTGGACACACCAGGAAGCAAGCAGGTGAACCCGAGAGCAGAGCCGCCCTGGCCCTTTGCAGATTTGGTGCCTGTGTGAGTCACAGGTGGCCTCATGCGGGAGGTCCTGCCTGAGGGTTCTGGTCATGAGTGGACTGAGACGAGGTCCCAGCATTCCCTGGACCTGCCAGCTCCTCCTGTGAGGAGGGTCTTTGCTGGAGTCCTGCTTGGACTTCAGATCAGGGGCCTTGGGAACCCCTAGGAGTGACAGGCTGGATCTGTATGGGTGGGCATGGTTGTAGATTTCATTTGTTTCTCAAATCACACTGCTGCTTTAGGGGAAGAGATACAGGCTATGGCAGGTGCTCTAACCTGCTTTTGTTGTTTGAGACAGGATCTCTCACTATGTCATTGAAGCTAGACTTGAACACACTATGTAGTCCAGGCTGCTCTCAAATGCCTGGTGATCATTTGGCCTCAGCCTTTCAAGTGCTGGGATTACAGGCATGTGCCACCACTCCTTGCTGGGTTTTTTTGTTTTCTTTTTTCTTTTTTTAATTCAGGTTGAACCAGGGCTTTTGCACTAAGCTTTATCCCCAGCCCTTTCTTATTTTTTATTTTGAGACAGGGTCTTGCTAAACCACTAAGTTTCCCCAGGCTGGCCTCATATTTGTGATGCTTTTGCCTCAGTCGGCAGAGTGCTGGCATTACAGCTGTGCACTACCACACCTGGCAATGTAACTGGCTTTCGTGGCTGTTGAACAGTATCCATTAAACGTTGTTTTTCTGGTGCTGGGGATTGAACCCAGGGCCTCTCACATGCTAAGCACATGCTGTTCCTCTGAGCTCCTTCCCTAGCCCCTAAACATTTTGCTATGCCAACTCTATAAGCCAGGGAGGCTACTGGATCTCCACAGCACAAATCCTCAAGAGCAGCATGCAAGAAAGTCCAAGGATGTCTAGTGCAGCCATGTAAGAATGAAAGACAGGAAACAGACGAAGCGTCTCCCATTATGTTCTTACTGTGGAACAGTATTTAGCTGTTCAGAAGAGTGACCTGGGTCTGTGTACTGAAACCAAAAGTGATCTAAGTTGTAGTGGAGGAGCAAGACCCTTTTCTGGTTAGAGACGGCATCTGTTGACAGGCATGGAGGCATGAGCCTGTAATCCCAGCACTCTAGGAGGCTGAGAAAGGAGGAACACAAATTTGAGTCCCAACAGGAGAACTTAAGCATGACCCTGTCTCAAAATAAAAAATCAAAAAAGGGCTGGAGATGTAGCTGAGTGCAAAGGCCCCGGGTTCAATTTGCTGTACCAAAAATAAATAAAAATAAATGAATAAATAGGAAAAAAGGAAAAAGTGTGTGTATATGAGTGGGTATATATGTACACACATCAGTCTTTTTTATATGCACATAAATCCCGGAAGACCACACATGGAGCTGTTACCAATGTCTCCCTCTGCAGGAACTGGAGGTAGCAAATGAGGGGCACTTGTACTTTTTATTTGACACATTCCTGTCCTTAATACTTTTATGAAGAAACATATTACCGTCTAGAAAAACAAATAAGCTGGATACTGCCAAAGGCCTATGTGTGGCCATTCAGTGATGTGTACCGAAGGCAAAGAAGCCCTGGGCCACCTGTGTCCCTCCGCGTGTGGCTTTTGCTGGCAGCATCCTGGCCTTGTGCACCTGTCTAGGTTGATGCAAGCAGGTGCTCCTGGGCCCCTCCTACCCAGGGCTGCAGCTGTGTGACTCAGGGCTGCCTCTGGGTGTGCCTCTGGGATGGGACCACTGCAAGGATCCACCAGCCCCTCTGTAGTTGTGGGCGGAGCCTTCAGCAGAGGACAGTGGTTGCTGGCCCTGCCACTCCTGCAACCCGTCAGCAGGCATCTGTGCTGCCCTGACTGCTGTCCCATGAATGCAAGGCTTCCACTCAGTTGACAAGCAAGGTTTGCTCTCCTCGCCAATGCTCCTGCCACCTGGCCTGCTCTGTTGTGCTTGGGTCTGTGGCTGGGAACAGCTGAGACTGGGACAACATATCAGGACAACTGTCTTTGGCTCCTGCTTTGTGTCCTGAAGGTGTTTCCAGGCTCAGCTGCACGGTGACTCATGCAGCAGATGGGGCTGGAAAAGGGTCTCAGGATTTGGCTGTGAAAAAGCCCTAAGCATCTCTCTGTCCCTTCCGTGAGGCTGCTTGGAGGTGCTTGACACTGCAAAAGCTGGGGACAGATTTCCCTCTGCCAACCTTAAGTCATGGCTTTCCCCCTGCCAAAATAAGAGAAAACAAAACAACAACAAAATCCCAATTCTCTTGTCTTGATTTTCCATTTTTCTCAGACAAACTCTTTGGAGCCTCCTGTGGCCACTTGTCAGCAAAGCAGAGCTAGCAGAAAGACATGTGGACATGGAAACGGGGAGAATGGGCAGTTTAGGCCACCTGCTTCCTCCCGCTGTGTGGCTTTCCTCCTGTGTCCACCCGTCATGGCTTTGGTTTCATCCTTGGTTTTCTAATGGTGACAGTTTAACTCAGTGTGACAGTTCTCTGGAAATAAAACTTTAAATGATGAAATCAGATGCCACTGTGCCCTACTTAGTGAGCTCTGTCACAACACTACTGTGCTTACCTGCTGCAGCTCCTAACAATGCTGAGGTGACCTGCTTTAGTCTAAGTCTCATTTTACAGGAGAGCAAATTGTGGTGGCAATGTATGTGGGGGGGGATGTTAAAAATATGTCCCCTTGCTGGGGATTTAGCTTAGTGGTTTGGGCGTCTGCCTCGCAAGTGCAAGGTCCCAAGTACAATCCCCGGTACCAAAAAAAAAAGTCCCCAAGCCAGGTATGTTGGTGCATGTCTGTTACACCAGCTACTTGGCAGCCTCAGGCAGGAGGAGTACATATTTCAGGCCAGCATGGACAACTTAGCAAGATTCTGTCTTGAAATACAAAATGGCTGGGTATGTAGCTCAATGTGAAGGCTCTGGGTTCAATCCCCAGTACTACTAGAAAGAAAGAAAAAAGAAAGAAAGAGAGAGAGAGAAAGAAAACAAAACATTGGGAACCTCTCGGGGGCAGCTACCAGGGTTGCCCATGTGTGTGGGCTCCTCTGCCTAATTGGAGGAAGAAGGTTCTAGATTCCCAGAGCCATGGGCCTTGTGAGGTCGACTGAGAAGGTCAGGACCCCTGAAGCTCAGGGCTGGTCCAATTCTTACCTCATCAATCCAGTCTGTGAAGCTGGAGACCCGGGTGAAGACGGACGGCTTTTGGTAGTAGTTGCAGCCGAGACTGGATCCGAAGCTGACTACGCCGTGCACTTGCCACTTCCCGTCATCTGCCTGGCAGTTCAGCGGCCCTCCAGAGTCCCCCTGGGGAGGTCAGAGTGGGAGGTGAGGGGTAGGAAAGGTGTCCCAGGAGCCTTTGCTCTCAACACTGTCGTGTTCCACTGCAGGTCTCTGTCCTCTGAAGTCAGCCCTGTGGTCACAGCTCTTGGCCACCACCCGCTTCTTCCTCCTGTGACCAGGTGCTGCTTAGTGGCCTATGTGGGTGGAATGTAGGGGCACCGTTGATCTGAAGGGCCTGACGAGCCCCTTCCAACTCTGTCCCCCATCCCCTATGGAGTCCACGATATAACAGTTCATTCTGGTAAAGGTACTGACTCCAGGAAGGCTTCTATGGCAGCTACCTTCAGGGGACACTTTGGGCCATTATTTGGGTTAACTCAACAAATAAATGGAAGTCACCTTAGAAAGACCCTAACTCAGAAAATACTTCTCCTCGGTCCCCTTCTGCACAGGAAAGAGGGATCCTGGTAATGAGACACCTCGATGAGACCCAGGGGAAGGACTTCTCAGCAGTGAGCCAGGGTGAGCACTATAAGGAGAATCTTAAAACATTACTTCTGGACACTACAAGGACAAAAGGCAGGTTCTGAAACATCCAAGAGGCAGGAGGATGGCTGCTAGGACCCCTGGGTGTTCTCCCCATCCCCAGTCTCATTTCCTTGTAGAGGTAGCACCCGATTTTGCATACTCACATTGCAGCTGGAGGTCACACCATCACCCCCAGCACAGACCATTCTGGTCTTCACGGAGCTGCCCCACCAGCTATTGCTGGAGCATGTGGCATAGTCCACAACCAGCAACAGGCCTTGTTGCAGGTTGTCAGGGCTCGCCCCGTTGGCTGAATGAGAGCAGGGGAAAGCGTTAGAGGGGCAAATAGGTCTCCTGAGTGAAAGGAAATAGGGACATCTTCTGGATTTTCTGACTGATCCTTACTAACATCTTCCAGCCAAAGGGTTGCAATAGAAGTAGCCATTTTTGTCCTTATGATGTCCTTACATTTGATTGGTTAATGTTGTGGCCATTGGTGATTGGCTCAAGGGTGATCACCTGACTCAAGTTAAACTAATTGGCTCCTTCCCTGGGAATTTGGGATGGAGACTAAGATACTAAGAGAGCATCTGGAAGTAGCAGCCATTTTCAAGAAAACCCACAAGAAAAGAAATCCTGATGGAGGGTTTCCCGTGTTTCTTACAGGTTTCCATTCCCTGGTTCTAGCCTGGTTCTGATGCCTGGTTGTCTCTCTGCCCTTCACTTGAGACTTTTAAATCATTGTAATGAATTTTCCTTTTGGTTGATGTACATGGGCTTCTGTCACCTTAAATATGACAGCGAGGCTGCTGGCATCTGGAACCCTCTAGTTGGGAAAAATATTCTAGTGTGGTGAGGAGGAGCTTTTGTAATGGCTCCAAAGCCACTGTGAGCCTCATCTCCACTAATGTCACCACTAGCACTAATGGCAACAGGGAGGGGTATTACTATTTTTGCACTTTCCAAGGCTTTTCTAACATGCCCCCTTCCTCACAGTCATATTTATTCCTGCTTGGTAGACGGGACATTGAGAACAAGATAAATTAAGTCTCTTGCCTAAGACCACCATAATTAACACACAATTAACACTCAGGTAACATTTTCTATATATGAAGCATTTTCATATGTATCATTTCTTTCGGTCTTCACAACAGAATTTCCACTTTGCACATGAGGAATCTGAGGTTCCGAAGTGACTTGTCCGAGGTCACATAGTGACTGACAGACATGGGACTAAAAGCCAAGCATCTGGACCCTCTCTGGCCCTGCATGTCTAGAGTGAGATAGGTTCTGCCCCAGTGTGTTCTGGGTAGACACACATAGTTGAGCCTGTGTGTGGTAAGCATGCGTTACCCTTCCTGGCTTCTGCTGGGTGTTTGAACTTCCCTAGAGCCTTCCAGACCTCTAGTGGTTTTACAAGAGAAGGGTAGGTGCTCTGTTTGTCCTTGATGGCTTATGCTATCATTGGATTTTTGACCCTTGGGTACCTGTGAAAAGCTGCTCAGTCAGAAGCTCTTCAGAGTTCCCAGGTCTCAGTGGGAGGACCAGCTGGCACAGGGGACGGGTTTGGATATGGTAAGGGAAGGTCTGATGGTGGCTCTAGGGATGTTGATGTGGCTCCAGAAACCTGAGATCACAGAGTAAATGCTGTTGTGGACTCTGGCTTGGGTCATACTGATGTCACATGTGCTAAGCTACCATATGCCTTTGTCACTGCTCTAAGGGGTTCCCAGGGAGGATCAGCTTTAATCCCGGGCAATGCGTGGTGATACCTCCTCACTTCTCTGCCAGGCCTCAGGGCACCTGGCTAGCACTTACTCTGCAGCCGGCCCCAGCCAGTGACATAGCAGGGGTAGTTGCTGGGCAGGATGGTGCCAGCAGGCGGCAGGCAGGCCAGCTGGATTTTGTTGCTCAGGGTGACAGGTTCAGCCAGTTTGATCAAGGCGATGTCGTACCTGCGTCAAGAAAGAGGCAGAGTGTGAGGAGGGGTCACTGCTCCTGCCCTTTGGGAGCTCAGGGGCCCCTGTCATCTTCCAGGTGCACTGTCTCCAGGCTGCCCCTGAAGGCAAGACAGCAGAGCATCTTGGGAGGTGTAGAAGTCCTTGTTGGGATGTGAGGAGAGACTGTTCTACTCTGCTGACAGCTGTGGGCTCCACAGTGGCATCCTGTGTGCCCAGGGCTTGGCATGGACTGTGAGGCCCACACAGTGAGTGAGAGCCTGGGGTGCAGGGTCTTTTGGGTTTGACAGGCAGGACAGCAGACTGCTCCCACACACTGCCTCTCCCTCCCCACCACACCTGGCAGCTTTGGGGCTGGCTCCACCTCCAAGTGGTCAGAGCTAGGGATGGAGATGACTGCCCTCCATCCCCCTGCCCACCGCAGCCCCAAGTCACCCAGACAGAACGTACCCATTGGCGAGATTGCTGTTCCATTTCGGGTGCACCACATACTTGGAGACAGCGATGGCCACAGAGCCAGGCTCATCGGTGGAGAGGCTGTGCCGGCCCAGCACTACACGGTAGGTCTGGGAGCTCCTGGCAAGGCAATTGGAGGGTGTCAGCTGCCTCCTCCCTGGGGCTCTAGGTAAGGGCACCCTGAGCATAAGGCAGGGCATGGGCCAGAGTCAGCAGCTGCTGTGGGGGTCACTACCAGGGCTTGGGCTTGGCTTCCACAGGGCCAACAAATTCTAATATAATGTAATGGCAGATCATCCTAGGTATAACTATACAATAACACACTTTCCTATAGTAAACTACAGCGTATAATCAGAGCTGTACTCACATAAACGCTGCACTATTATGAAGGCAATGAGGTGAATACAGAGAAAACAGGAATCACTTGCCCTCTAGGGTACTTTCTCATTTAATCCCCACCTCTCATTTTCAGGTAGGGAAACTGAGGCCCAGAGATGGGTAATGAGCCCAGGGAGAGTCTGGAAGTAGAACCAGGGTGCCTGACTCCCAGGGCTCTATTATCTTCCCACCATGGTGTAAGTGAGGTTATAAATGAGGTGGGAGGAGAGCCTGTTCCCAGCCTAAGGCTCACCAGCCTAAGGGACCCAAGTGACATCCAGGTGTGTCCAGCATGCCTGGCTGTAATGGACTTTCATTGATCACTTTCTGAGCATCAGGCCCTCTCACATTTCACCTCCTTTAATCTACACTGATCTCAGTAATTCAGTTTTTTCAGGTGATGGTATTAAAGCTTGCAGACGTCACTGAAGGCATTAAAGGAGCACAATTCCAGATGGAGAGGACACATCTGGCTCCCCCAAGAGGGCAGACACTGGGTTGTCCCCTCCCCCACCTCCCTCAGTGCCTGGCACACAGCACTCAGTCCTCTCCGAGTCCCTGCCTCTCAGTGACCCTCAGGTGGAGTCACAGATGGGCCCGCGCTGTGACTTGGCCAGGCCTTCGGTGGTGCAAGGCTCCTGTGCATGGTGGTGTCAGGCCTTCTGGGCCTGGCTCTCAGAAGTGAGCAGGACTGGCAGGCAGGCAGCCCGGGGCAGGGAGAGGTGGTTACCTAAAACAGTGGGTGGCTGTCACGACCCAGCTGGTGGCCACCAGGGACCCTCCGCAGTTGTGGAACCACTTGCCTGAGGTGATGTACTGCACGGAGACCTAGGGAGAAGCATGGGCACCTGGGTGGCTGAGCCAGCCCAGCCAAGGGTCCCAGAGGGCATGACCCCTTGATATCACTAGACTGTCCTCTCTCCCGAACACAGTGTACAAATACATGCATGTACATTCGTGTACATGGGCTTGCGTGTACACACACTATACATATGCACGCACAGACACACGTCTCTTCTGATGAATTACCCATGCATTTATCCCTGCACTATAATACAGGCTCAGTGAAGGGTTCCACAGCTCTGTGCGCCAGATGCCCAGAATGCTGCTCAGCCCCAGGGGATCCTTAGTAAAGTCAGGGCCTCAGGTCTCCACTCAATCCACCACAGAACAAAAATATTAGGGAAGAAATTGCATTGTACTAAACATGAATGGACTTTTTCCTTGTCACCATTCCCTAAACAATACTGAAGGAATCCAACTGCTGCCATCCTGAGCAGAGACCCCGCTAAACCGCCTGCTCCCAGCACAGCTGCACCTGGGGACTCACAACACTATCAGCCCTGCTACAGACAGCAGCCACTGCACCCTGTGTTTTCTCAAGCCGCATCCTTGTGTAACCATTACTGCTTGTGCTCTCTCAAGCCTCTTTCTTGACCAGGAGCCACAACCCCTCTCACTGACCCCCCCCCCCCCATGACCCTACAAAAGACCCCAAAGCCTGTAGGAGAGCAGCTGGTCTGGTCTCTGGTCCCTCTCAGGTTTGTTCTGCAATAAATCTGTCCAACTGCTCTCATACCTCTGTTTCTTCTTTTCCTTTTTCCTAACAAATATGGTAGACAACTATTTACATAGCACTGACATCGTATTAGGTATTATAAGCAAGTGAGAGATGACCTAACATACACGGGAGGGTGTGTATTTATATATAAACACTGACATTTTATGGAAGGCACCTGAGCATCTGTGGAGTTTGGTTGCCTCAGGGACCTGGAACCAATCCCCACAGACCTGGAGGGAGGAGTGGACTTTCTGATGGAGAAAATGAGTGAAGAATGAATGAATGAAAGAATAGCAAAGGTCTGGTAGGTCCTGTAGATCTTGTCATCTGCTATAGTTTCTCCCTGCAGACTAAATCCATTCAGAGGCATATGAGAAAGCATTAGTGAACCTTAACCCCTGTGGCCTTCAATGTGTGTGTGTGTGTGTGTGTGTGTGTGTGTATGGTACAAATAGCTTCCGTTTAGGTCTGGTAGTTAAATAGGTGTGGGCTGGAACCATGAGGCGCGAGCATCTGATACTGCTTCAGTGTCTAACGAAGCTGCCACACACCCCTCTGTTTCCTTCATTCCTCCCCATCTTTCAAGGCCTTGCCATGCCCCAGCAGAGAGGAGAGGGGACTGTGCAGTGTGGACTGCTTGGAGTCAGACTGCATTTCCTGTAACTGTGGGCTGATGAGCCCTTCATGGGCAGATGCCTGCTTTTCTCTGAACTTCCTCATTTTTAATTAGGCACTTGGCATTTCTCCTTTGATCAACATTAAGGGGCCTTAGCCTTAGATAAATTGGATGTTCAAAAGATGTTGGGCTGGGGATGTAGCTCGTCATGCTAGAGCACTCACCTGGCACAGGTGAGGCCCAGAGTTCCATCCCAGTCCCGAAAAAAATATGTTTACAATTAGACAAAATGAAAAAAGACACATAAAAAAGATGACCTTCTACTTTAAAAGTAGGCCCAAAGCACCCTACAGACATGAAATTTTGTCCACATAATATGTATTGTGAACAAAAAGGTGTGGCCAAAAGAGCAAAGAGTGAATCAAATTTGAGTCCTCACTTTCCTCCTGGGTCACTGAGTGGCTTTGGGCAATTATTTAACTATTCTGAGTCCCATTTACCTTGTTTGGAAAATGGGCCATAATGATCATTGTGCAGAGTGCTCAGGACATTTAATGCTCACAACATCCAACACTTCACATTTCTAATTTTCTTCTTTTTGGTACTGGGGATTGAACTCCAGTCTTTGTGCTTGTGAGGCAGGCGGCAGAACCACTGAGCTAAATCCCTGGCTCTAATTTTCTTTGATTTTTAATTTTAATTTCTTTTTTTTTTGGTACCAGGGATCGAACTTGGATCCTTCTGCTTGCAAGGCAGGCGGCCGAACCACTGAGCTAAATCCCCGGCCCCTAATTTTCTTTGAAACAGGATCTCACTGTGTAGCCCAGGATGGCCTTGAATTTACAATCTACCTGCCTCAGCCTCTTGATTGCTGGATTACAGGTGTGCACTGCCATGCCTAGCTTAAAATTCTAGTGTTTGACCATTATTAGACACCATCCTGAGCTCATGTCATAACCACAGCAACCCTGTGAGGCACCATCATTATTTATATTTTACAGATGAGTAAACTAAGGCAGCTATAGTCGATGTAGTCGACTACAATGTAGTCGATGCCATAAAAGCTGTTCTCTCTCTCTAATATATATATATATATTTTGTGATACTGGAGATTGGACCCAGGGCCTTCCCACTAAGTTACCTCTCCAAGCTTTTTTTACTTGAGACAGGGTCTCACTAAGTATATTTTCCAGGCTCTTGTGATCTTCCTGCCTCAGCCTCCCAGGGTGCTGGGAATATGGGCATGAGACACCATACCCAGCCTTGTTCAATATTTCCAATGTTACGTATGGAAAAAGGTTAATTTATTGTTTCAGGTCATAGAAATAGTACTGGTTGGAGATAAGATTGTAACTTGGTCAAACCTGCCCACCAGATCCCCCCAACAAATGGCTACAGAAGCCAGAAGTGGGCAGTCTCCCATGACTGACATTCATTGGCTCCCCATGTGAGGAAATAGTTGTACAAGCAGTGGCAATTGGATCCCAGGGTGAGGATCTGATTGGTCAAGAAGGTGGCAGAGGCAGCAGTGATTGGTTCTCAGCACAAGTGCACCCCCCTCCTCCACGATGGATCTGCAGCAGAGGGGCTGTGGCCCTTCTCCCCACATTGCAGAGGAAACTTCTGTGAGACTATGAGAGGGGGGAAGAACTGGCTCTGTATACTTTTGCTACTGACTTAGGTGCCTGTGAGAAAGTGGGAAGACTGAGAGGAAAATGATAGCAATTTGAATGGGCTTGTTTCTCAGATTGCTGCATGAGTGTCTCAAAGTTGTTACTCCTTTAAAGAACTGGACCTGCAGATGACATATTATTGGAGAAAGTGCATAAAGGATTCAGAAGATCAAGCCAGGAGTGGTGGGACCTGCCTGTAATCCCAGCACTCAAGAGGCTGAGGCAGGAGGTTTGCTGTGTGCTCAGTGCCAGCCTGGGCTACATAGTGAGTTCAAAGTCAGTCTAAACTACATAGTGAATTCAAAAGACCAGTGAATGAATGTATATTTACATGTTCTACATTAAAGTAAAATTTTGAAAACCTATGTCTATGATTTAAAATAATTTTCTATACTCAACTTTTCAATTGCTCTGTCCCAATTATGGCAGATAAGGGAAATTTTACCATATTTATGTCAATTGTAATCTTCACACATTTCCTTTGAAAGTTCAATCAGTCACATTGTATGAATTTGCGCCTGTGTCTCATCTAAAAGTCTAGTCTTGATAGCCCTATGTTTACATCATATGGATATAATCCATTGATAACACTGATTGGCCTGTGGTTGAAGGTTAATTTGCATAAACTGCACTGAATGGATGCTTAAAGCAGGGAACATTTACATAGATGGTGATGAATGGTTTATAAAATAATGGTACATTAGTAAGCTAGCATGTAATTGGCTAGCAGAGAAACGATGTCTGTAAATTGCTGCATCTGGGTAGTAGGGTGGGGCAGCTTCTTAGCAAAGCTGGAGGAAGCCCCTCTGCCCCTGCCTTATGGTTGGCCAAAGGCACAGAAATGGCCTTGCTGTGTTCCAAGTTTCCACCAATTCTCATCTTTGCCCGCAGAATAGACTCCATGGTGGAAGGGCAAGTGGGTGATGAGAAAGGGTGGGGTAGGGGCGAGCAAGGACAGCTGGTTGGCTCACCTGCCAGGGCCAGTTGTTGGGCCTCGCATCTTCTCCTCCAACCACCCTGCTGTGCTGGGGCTGGTAAGTGGAGAGCCCGCAGCTAAGAGCTGTGAAGAGAGCAAGGGTCGTGAGTTCGGGGGAGCAGTGACCTAGCAATGGAAACTGTATGTGCCGGGTATGGAACCGCAAATGGAAACCCAGTTCTGGAAGGATCTCAAGAGGTCATAGCATCCTGCCCTTTACCCCACTTTGCTGAAACTCCACAGCAGTGGAGTTTCTCATAACTATTGCACTGAATGCAGGGGAGTGGGGAGGTGAAGAGGGTGTGAAGATCCCGTCCCAGCCCTCGAAGGGGATTGGGGAGCAGTGCCTGAGGGTGACAGCGCTTACCTCCAGCCACCAGTGCACAGAGCAGTAGGGCCCTGATCATGGTGTGTCCGTGGGACTCCTGTGAGTGTGGCCCTGGCCAAGGCCCTGCTTTATAGGTATGTTTATCAGCAGGTGATATTCTGGGAGCTCACAAGGTGAGGATTTTCTCAAAGATCAATGGAATAAAGGGCTATGTCCAAATATTTTTTCCATTTTTCTCCTACCTGTTACCTTGGAAGTACACTGATAATGATGCTAAAAGTAGATACGGAAATGTGTTTTTTCTTTCTTATCATTTTGTGTGTGTATGTTTGTGTGTGGTGAATTGAACCCAGGGCCTTGCACATGCTAGGCAAGTACTCTACTGCTGAGCTCCATCCTCAGTTTTGTTTTTTATTTTAATTTTGACACAAGGACCCTGCCTTGATTACTGTAGCTTTAGAGGAAGTCTTAAAATTAGGTACTAAACGTCTTCCAACACTGTTTTTTTTTTTTTTTTT